TGAATGGGTGAGTCATCACCCTCCCAGCCAAGGGCTGTCAGGGACAGTGGCCTTCCTTGCCCAAGATGCCGTCACCCCCCCCCCACACACACACCCCGACCTAGGAGTAGTGGGTGATGCTGGGATGTAGTAGCAGCAAACCTGCCACGGCCCTGGGGCTCCTGCTTGGGTCCCGCCGGCAGCTTCCCTGCCTCAGGCCCGCCTGAGCCCCACAGCACAGCACAACACACGCTCATCCTTTCTTCAGCTGTCGGACCAGCCCTGGGACCCATCCTCAGAACGGCCTTCTCACCAGTGTGTGGAAGTGGCCCCCTCCCTGCGGGGATGGCTGCCACACTCCCAGTGTTTGCCAACACTTTTTGTATCTGTTGTCACCTTTGTCCTCTCTCTCTAAAGTGCAGTCATTGTCCTGTGCTTCACTGAGCTGCTGCTATCCGCCAGGCTTGTTCTATGCCCTGTGGACAGGGGAGCCGAAGAACAAACGTCCTGCATTTATGGAGCTAAGATCCAGCGACAGAGGGGCTGCGGGGAGAGAGGGGAACCGGAATAAGCAAGTAAACACAGTGACAAGTGTGCTCACGTGATGTCAAGGAGGGGAGGGTGGTCTTTTAGGTGTCATCCGAGCAAAGAGCTGGCGCAGGACCCAGTGAGTCTCCGAGCCCAGCCAGAGCAGTGTGTCCGCAGAGGGAGCAGCTGCAAGTGCAAAGGGCCTGGGGGGAGCATTACTGGGGTGCTGAGGAGCAGCAAGAGGGCCAGCGAGGCCAGTGCAAGTCAGACAGCCGCTCACCAAGACCTGGCACAGCTGTGGAGACTGGGCTCGCCCCAGTAACCTGGAGACATTTTAGGGTTTTGGATATTGTAATGTGCGCTGACATTTAGCAGCACCCCTTCGGCTGCTCTGTTGGGAGTGGGGCCAGGTGGAAGTGGGGGACCAGTTACGAAGCTGTAGTAACAATCCATGTGCGAAGTGACCTGGGCCAGGATGGTGGCTGGAGCTGGCCAGAGCGGTCAATTCAAATGTGCTTGAAAGTCAATCTTAGGAGGCAGGAGAGGAGCCAGGATGACTCGAGGGGTCCAGCCCCAGCTGGTGAAAGGTGGTGACGGTAGTGTCATGAGGAAGAGGGAGGGCAGTGTAGGTTGGGTTGGGTCGACTCTGCCCCTGGACACCTTAGCAGAGGCCTGTCAGCACCTGGGCCCGGCGTGGGGCAGGGAGAGTCCTCAGGGCTCATAGCCCTGGCTGGGGAGGGGGTCAAGGAGGGCTGAGCCCAGGGGGGCTCTGGCTTTGGAAGGTGGCCGTGGGGGAGGGGGAGAAGGAAGGGGAGCTGCAGTGTGAGGCAGCACCCCCCTGAGGAAATCCAGGCCAGCTGCATCCTGGAAGGTGTTTGGGGGGAGCGGGGTGGGTGGGTGATGAACTGTGCAAGTGCTTCCCATCAGTGTTGACAGTTGACTTTGGCATTTGGCATCATGGCAGTGATCGGGGACCTGGCCACAGTCCATCTGGCCAGCACCTTTGCAATGATGTTGGGGTCCTGCACCCCCGTGCTCCCACGCAGTCCCTCACCTGTACCTCTGGACTCAGCTGCTGTGTTGGTGACCTGGATGAGCGGTGGTGGCTGAGTAAGTGTGGGTGAAGGGCTGGTGGCAACTGTTCAAGACACAGAAGGAGCTTTGGGGGAATGGACCAGGTTTTCCAGGAGATTTGCTGTAATGGGGAAAGGGAAGTGTAGGGTTGAAAGAAACTAGCCAAGTGAGGGGGGTGGAAGGGAAGAGGGGGGGCCTAGCATAAACCAAGTGAGGTCGTGAGGCAAGGTTGGGGAGCGCAGGAGGGCCCAGAACATCACACCTGAGGTGAAAGTATCAGAAAGGACACAGGGCAGGCCGGAGGTCTCCATCCTCCAGGAAGAGGGGGCACAGGTAGGTGGGAGCAGGACGAGGAGCACTCAGGGGATCAGCTTGGGGAACCCCTGCCAGGCCCCTCCAGACCCCAGGCCTCAGTCTCCCAGCTGGGAGATGGGAGAAGTGGGTGTTTCAGGGACTCTCTGAGCTTCTGGGCCTAGGAGGCATCAAAATGACTGGTTGGTGGGTCCCCACCTCCTCCTGCCTGGGTACCCCTACCTGTGCAGGCTGGGGAAGAGTTGGGGCCCTTCCTGGAGGAGGCCGGAGGTTAGGTCAAGGCTGTGATGGGATGAAAGTTCGGGATGCTGTGCTCCCCACAGTTGCCTGGGGTGCTGTCAGTGCTGCTGGCCTCCTGCACCTTGATGCTTTTCTGGGGACCCCCACCCCGTGTCTACCTCACTTCCCTAGGGACCAACCAAGAACTGGGCAGAGGGGAATCTGGCATGGCCTCGGTCCCTGCTCTCCTGAGACTGACCTTCAGGTCGGTGGGAATGCCTGGGAGAAATGGGGAGACACTGTGATTCTTTCTGTGGGGTTGCTGGGGAGTATAGAGCATTTGGCTGAGGGTTGGGGGACGCTGACCTTGTTTCCTTTCAAGTAGCTACAAGGGCCAATAACTACAACTCTCAATCCAGTGTCCGTAAATCCCAAACCTTCCTTCATGGCACCTACCCACTGGATGCCTTGAGACAGCCCTTTAGGCCAGCGCTACCTGACATGGGAAAATGAGGACCAGGGAGTAAGCGGCAGAGGCCACCCTAGAAAGCTGGGTTCCTGGCTCCTAGTTAGCTCACTCTGCACCCCCAGAGCTGTGATGATGCCAGACCCCAGACTCTGGGCATCATCCTCGCCCAGACAAGTAGAGCTGCTGTCCTCCGTCTGTCTGCCCGTGTGTGTGTGTGTGTGTGTGTGTGTGTGTGTGTGTGTGTGTGTGTATCAACCACACTCTCGGATGGGCACCAAATTTCCATGGTAACAGGCAGACCTTGCCTTCCAGGGGCTGACAGTCCATCTGGGTGTACAGAGACCAAATAACCCACTGCACGCATGAGTCACTCCTCGTAACTGAACAGTGAGTGTGGCCTCTTGAGTGGGTCTTGGGGCTATGGGCACTGGATGCCTCAGCCGCTTTCACCCCCACCCCAGCCCCACAAGAGGGGCTGTTACCATCACTAGGTAGAAGGGGAAATAGGAGGTCAGAGAAGTGGTGCAGCTGGGACTCGAGCTCATGCGTCTCTGGAGCATGGGAGTATGGGAGCAACACCCTGTCACTCACACTTCCCACCATGTGTCTACCTCACTTCCCTGCCTACAGGAGACAGGCAGAAGGTAGAGGGTGGGCAGCAAGGTGACTTTCCTGAGCTGTGCTCTTCCTGAAGATCCTGAGCACCTGCAGGGAGGAGGCCCGGCCCTGGGCTGTGTGGGAACAGCCCAGGATTTGATGGGTATTGAAGAGGGGAGGCTATTTAACGTCTGACTGTCTACAGGATCAGGCCTCCTGGAACCTTACTCAAGTGACTTATGCTCTTGGAGCCTCGGTTTTCTCATCTTTAAAATGGGCAGGAGAGAGGTTCTTTTTAAAAAATTTTATTTATTTATGCACACGAGGCCAGGGGTGTGGGGGGCGGGGGTGAGAGGACTCACAAGAGACAGAGTGGGGAGCAGAACAGGCAGATGGACTGAAATACACTGCTGAGGGGAGCAGCGGGCGAGACAGGAGAGGTCTGCTACACCATGTGGGTCAGCTCCCTGGGCGGGGATGGAACTCGTGCTGCGGTGGTGGCTGCAGACAGCTTCATAGTGCTGCTCATGCTGCTCTCTAACCCCCTGTGCCACCAGGGAGGCCCCAGAGGGGTTGGTCTAAGGGGTCAACACATAGTTCAAACCCTGCCCCTCTTATGCCACCCAGCACAAGTGAGGCACCCCTCAATTCAGCAGATCCTCTTTCTTCTCTCACCCTCTGCTGCCTAAGAGGAGGTTCTTATTATACTTGGTCTGCAGGGTGGAAAGGAGATTAGAGAAGCGTCATGGAGGACAGGACATGTGAGCAGGGACTCAGGACTGAGCAGGAGTTCACTGAGCACTGCAGGATCAAGACCGACCAAGCACCAAGCACGGGGTGGACATGAGTGAGCTGAGTGTAGAGAGCAGCTCTTGCAGGCTGGAGTGGAAAGGGGAGGAAAGTGGCTCTGGGGGTCGTCTGAGTGGAGCCAGATCTCCCTTTGGGGCTGGGCCTGCTATGGCGCTCAGCTTCCCCCAGCCCAGGGCACCCTACACTCGCCCCCTAGAGCAGCCTCCCCCTGACCGTGGGCTGGGATTCTGCAGCCTTGATTGGACAGGCTCTTTCCCTCCCCGCCTGTCCCCCTCGGGGTTTGTCCCTTTTGTCCCCTGCACCCTCCTTCCAACTCTGTCCCCTAGCCACCCAATTCCAGCTGTCTCGCCCTCTGCTGGGTCGGTAGGTACATGGGCACCATCTCCCTCCCACTGAGAGGAGCCCCCTCGGCGGCAGTCTCCCCCTTGTTCCCCCAGGCCCCCCAAGGCAGGCCCCACAAGGAGTCCCACCACTGGAGAGCAGGGAGGGCAGAACACACCCTCCTTCACCTGCGGGGGGCGGAGGCTCGGCGCGGCACTGGGGTCCTGCCTTGGGGAGGGTGGCTGGGTCCCCAGGGTTGGAGGGCAGCTGGGGCCGACCGGGCTCGGAGGGGGC